CTTATTTCAGAATATCCCACAATCCACACCACCACCACCACCACCACCACCACACACTGCCTAGTGGGAATTGAATCCAGGGTGTCATGCATTCTAAGTACCCCTTCAACAACTGAGCTATGTGAAAACACTAGGGTGGCTTATTTTCCCCTCTACTTCCGAATGTTGAGAATGGAACTCAGGGCCTTGCCCACAGGAGGGAAGCATTCTGCTGCTGAGCTGATCTTTAGCCCAAATCTACATCTTTAGCCCTACATCTCACCATGTAGCTGACATTGATTTGCTGTGTAGCCCAGGCTGACCTTGAACTCACAGTCCTCTTTCCTCAGCTTCATTAGTGCTATGATTATATGCATGCTCTACCTACCATGTCTGGATTGCCTAATCTTGTTTCCCTAAAGATGGTCATTTGAGAGAGGGTATTATCTAGCCCAGGCTGGCTTTAAACTCACTATGTATGAGGAGGACCTTCAACTCTCTATCCTTCTGCTTCTACCTCCCTAGTTCTGAGTTACAAGTGTGCTGCTCTATGCCCACCTTTATTTTTTAAAGGTCTGGGAGGTTTACTAGACAGACAGTAGCAAGATATAAAATGATAACAACAACAACAACAACAACAACAACAACAACAACAACAACAACCATTTTCTATCAGCCAAGTGTGTTTTTAGGATACCCCCATGCTGTCAGTTGCTAATGGGGGCCTAGAAGGAACTGAATCCAGACTCTGAACAAGAAAAGAATTTCACGGACTCCTACTAGTCATAGTGCATAGTGACTGTGAGTGCTTATCTAAATGGGCCATGTATGTCACAACCTCTTTCCCAGGCTCAGGGAACACTGGGAAAGGAGGGGTGAAAATTATAAGAGCCAGATGTTGAGCTAGACCACTAGGAAGTGCTGTCTTTACATGACAGTGTTCTTGCAAGAACTCACATGAAAGCTGGGTGTGTGTGTGTGTGGGGGGGGGCATGCCTTTAATCCTGCACTTGAGAGGCAGAGGCAGGCAGATCTCTTGTGAGTTAGAGGCCAGCCTGGTCTACAGAGTGAGACACTGTCTCAAAACACCAACAAGGAAACCGCACATGGCCATGGCTGCCTGCAAAATATCAGGCCAGTCAACATTTCAGTGTGGTTTGTGGAAGCACTCCCCAAGACCTTCCCCTTTCTGGGGGAGTGACCAGCATTTGATGGCTCTCAGGGGGGAGAGTCAGTTTTCTTCAGGGGTGTGGTCCATGGCAGGTTTCCCAACTCCGGGGGGTGGCCCTACACCTGTGCACATATGGAGAGCAGCGAGTGCACTCAGAGAGGTATGAAAAGAGGACATGAAGCTGGGAGGGATACAGTGTGGTGGGGCATCTGGGGCAGCTGAAGAGGGGCAGCGGGGGGGTATAAATATAATCAAAATATGCTATACCCGTGTATTAGATACTCGTTTGTTCCTATGATAAAACACCATGACCAAAACCAATTTATGGAAAAAAGAGTTTATTTTGGTTTCCTCATAGAGGGGGAGTCCATAATGATATGGGAGGCATGGTAGCAGTCAGTTGGAACAGGAAGCTGAGAGATTTCATCTTCACCTGCAAGCTGAAAGTAGAGAGAGAATGTAAGTGGAGCAAGGCTATGAACTCTTCAGCCTGTCCCCGTGATGTACTTCTGTTAACCCCACTGAATGAAGACCACCACCCAGATTCCTTGGTCAGATGAAGCAAGCTTTATTTTCTGTCAGACAGGGATGTCTTCTAGTGCGGGGTTTGAAAATATAGTATAGAACACAGGAAAAATGGGGCTTATATAGCCCCCCAAGGCTGTAACACTAGGGGACTTTCAAGGGTTGAGGGATTTCCATAGGAATCTTGGTTATGGAGGAACCTGGCTGAACATTTCAAAACTATTTGACAGAGCATCTTGTCTTCTCAGGGTATGTTCCAGGTGTGAGTCAAACTCCTTAGAGTGGGAGCACGTTAAATCCCAGAAACAGGCTAAAGCACTATCAGCTTGAATTTTGCAGCCAACAGAAATGAGCTTATTCTGACCGTATAACAACATGGCTCCCATCCTTAAGATGGAGTCAGGCTGGTCCATCATGTCTGCAGCAAAGCTTCACCACATCCCCAGTTAGTGCCACCAGCTGGGAACGAGGTGTTCAAATATCTGATCTATGGGGGACATTTTTCATTGAAACCATTACAAACACCCTGACAAAGAGCCACTCAGAGGAGAGAAAGGATTGTTTGGGCTTGCAGTTCTGAGAAGATACAGTCCATCATGACAGAAGAGGCATGGCGGCAGGAGTGTGATGTTGACCTGGTACTCAGGTAGTCAGCTGACCAATCTTATCTGTACACAGGAAGCGTAAAGCAACAACAGGAAGTGGAGCCAGGATAGAAAACCTCAAAGTCTGCTCCACCTCCTAAAGGTTCCATGGTCTTTCAAAAACAGTGCTACCAACTGTGACCACGTGTTCAAATACATGACCAAATGGGGGGTATTTTCTCATCCAAGCCACAATATATGTGTGAAATTCTCAAAGAGTGAACTCTATTATTTTAAAAAGGATTCCAAACAGTGGCTTAGAAAGTCATTCTCTTCATTAATGGATATAACACAGGATGAACATCAGTAGAGTTCAGAATGACCCAACTGAATAAGAAGGAAACATGGGCAAGATATCTCTTTCATTGCTCTCCCACTCCATCCCTCCCCCAGCTTGACCATCCATTCCCTCATGGTTTCATCCCTCATGCCCTTCCCTCTATTGCCCCCCCCTGCCCCCAGTTTACTCAGGAGATCTCATCTATTTCCCCTTCCCGGGGCAATCCATTCGTCTCTCTTAGGGCCCTCCTTGTTACCTAACTTCTCTGGAGCTAGCTAGTAACACATTCTTATGGACTTTAAAACTGAATTTCCTTGACAAAGAATTTAAATAAATGGGCAGCCACTAAGGTAGAAGCCTCATGGTACCTAAGCTATTTGTTAATCCTGACACTGAACGGGAAGGAAGTCTTAGATTGAAGATCTTCCCATCAGAAAACTATGGCAAATCTTACACTTTACATTTGAGATAATTCAGGATTTCCAGATGTTTAGTAGATGATACCTACGTATCATCTAGGAAGCCAACAGCACTTCTGAAGCTCTGCAGTATTCAGCATCACCATGAAGACACACTATTCACCAATTGACATCTCAGCTTCTCCTTTCTAATTATGTTTGGGGATCTAGTTTATGACGACCAATCATCCATTCTTCTGTTCTGCATCCTAGCCGGTTACTTGTACATACAAGTTTTACATTTATTCATCCATTCACTTCTAGGCCAATCCTAGTGACCATGCAGAAAGCCACTCAGCTCCTCCTCAGACCAAGGTCACTGTTAGTCACTAATGATGACAAAGATGTACTCTCTGATGCTTTATCTGTCCGAATGTTCAAAAAGGATCTTCAGTTCAAGAAGGATTTCTCTCAAGATTTTGTTTCTTGGAGTTGAAATATTCACTCCTATTCCTTGCAACCCTGCTTCAATTTCAATGGTTTTCCTCATTGCTGCTGCTCTCTCAGCGTTCTGGTCAACACATGCTTGTAACTCATTCCAATTTGCTTCCAAGTGCCTCCTCGCCAGTCGGTGCTGACATGCTTCAAGGACGTGCAGAGATGTATCACGGAAGGATCATCAGCTGTTGTTGAGATGTACCGTGCTAATCTTGAGTGTTGCTCTTCTGACTTCAGTGTTAGATCTCGGTCATCATTTTCGCTCTCCCTCAGCACTCTAACCTTTGTTTCCGGCACTTGCTCATTCTTGGTTCCAATGCAGACTGGTGTTCTTCCAAGGATGTCAGTTCCTTGTTCTCTGGCTGGATTCTCACAACTAGTGTGCCTGTGGTTGATGTCTTGCCACATCATTAAGTTCTTGGACTTTTTCCTGATGCTGCTGTTTTCCTTCCACTCACTTGCTAAGAGTAGTGGTCTGCCCAGTGAGAGACTGGTGCATTGTCATGGTCTCTCAGCTTTTCAGGAAGGGTGTTAGCGTCAGCGAGTTCCTTCAACTATGCAGCTCCCTCAGTGGAGCGTGGACAGGGCAGCCAGGGTTTCTCTGTGTCATCCTATCTGTCCTGGAACTCACTCTGTAGACCATGCTGGCCTCGAACACACAGAGATCTGCCTGCCTCTGCCTCCCAAGTGCTGA